CCCCACCGTGGCAGAGGCCTCCGTGGTGGGCGTGCTTTGGGAAGTGTCCCAGGTGGCGCAAATGGTTGAGCACTCAACGACGCTGGGCGGTTTGCAGCCAGCCACCTGGAGGCCGTGGAAAGTCCACAGCCCTGAAAGCCCTACAAAGCCCTGTGACGCACACAGGCGGGGAGAGGGGGTTGGAATTGGCTCCGCAACAGCTCACCACAGCAGTCTTTGAGAACATAGAAACAGGAGCCCTGCCCTTAGGGGCCCCTGAGGGTCCCCATGCCACCCAGCGCCTCATCCCTGCACGCACTACTGGGAGGAGGGAATGGGGGACACCTAACGCTCGCACAGACTCTAAGAACAGAGGGACCGCTTTCTTAGAGGCAGCTGCCCTCAACCCTAGGAGAAGGCCTGGGCTCCACTTGCGCAGGAGCCGGCCGGCCTAACCGCAGCCCCCCACTGCCCCCCTCCGCACACCGAGCAGATTCTGTTCCTGCACGCCATGCCTCTCCTTCCTGTCTTCCGTCTGCTGTTTTATTTGCCAGGCTGCCCAGCTCGCGGGGTCAGTGCAGCGCAGATTGCCCCTGAGACGGGCACCTCTATTATCAGAGCCCATCAGGTACTGCTGGCGCACCGCCTTCCTCACAGACCCGCTCCCTGCCCCTTGAGCAAGACTCTCTACCCAGGGATGAGGTGCTGCAGGCCTCTGCCACTGAGGGGGCAGGCCCTGCTCCCTGCATGGCCAGGGCTGCCAGCCCGGCCTTCGGTCGGCTCCAGGGGTGACACCCCTTGTTACACCGCCTGGTTGGCCCCGGAGCCCTGGGCCCCCAGTCTGTGCTTCCCTCCCCCGGTTCCACCCCAGTGACAGTGGACATGCAGGAAAGCCCAGCAGGGGATGAAAGGCGCTCAGAGGACCAGCTGTCCTGGGGGAGGGGCCGGCTGCAGGAAGGAGGAGGGGCCCCCACCCTGCCCTGTGGGGCCTGAGACCTGACAGCTGGTGTGTGGGAGCCTGGGGTCTTCTTGGCCCTGCTGGAGGTGGTGCCTCCTTCTCCTGCAGCCTCCCCCAAGCCAGGGCCCCTTCTCCAGGGTCAGCCAGAAGCTTACCAGGGCAGGGATAAGACTGCTGACCCTCCCAGCCAGGAGGCCCCACCGAGGGCCCTTGTCTGTGGCTTGAGGAAGGAGCACCTGATTGGGCTTTTTTCAGCCCTTCGATGGTTCTGCTCTGAGCCCCGATATGGACTCCGCCCCCGTGTGCAGACATCTCGTCCCACGCCGTGGCCATTTGCAAGGGACATGGATAGAGCTTAGGCACATGGACAGTGATGCCCACAGGCTTGCACCTAGAGCCCTTCTCTTGCCTGGCTACTTGTGTGGGTGGGACAAAGAAGAGAGACGGCTCCTGTCTGGGGCTCCTGCTCTCCCACGGCTCGCTGAAGCCCAGAACTCTGAGGAGTCTGAAAGTTCTCCGGTTGGACGCGGCCTTCTGGGCTGCTGTGAAGAGATGTTTGTTGAGGAAATAGACTAGGATATGTTTCAGTTCCTTAGCTTTCTTTGTAACCTTGAAATATGTAGGCCAGTGGCATCTGGTCTCAGTCGTGCTCACGTCGATGTGTGTGTGTGTGCACGTGCCGATACCCCGTACAGCGATCAGACCCTACATAGAGAGAGTCAGAGAGTGGGCCTGTGACAGTCAGTCGTGCATTCAGTCCGCAGGTCCCAGTGAACTCAGGCTGGATGCGCCTCATTGGTTGACTCTGCCCTCCTTCTTGCTTGTTCCCATCTGAGTGACACACGTTCTACTACTTTCAAGCTGTCGCTCCACTCGGCCCCCTCCTTCCCACGCCTCTGTCTTACTTCAGGCCCTGCTCCCGGGACACCTCCCTGGGTTCAACTTGGGGGGGGTGAAAAAAATTTTAGATGGAATGTTTTGTAGCCCTCCGAGTGAGCAAGATGTATCCCTTAGAACTTAATTACTTTCGAATGAGAGAAATTAAGTGTACATTCATTAGGAAGTTTAAAACGCAGCTTATTTTTTCTACGTGAGGGGTAATTGTGGTAAAAAAAAGTTGATATGATTCCCCCCCACCCCACCTTTGGTGCTTGAAACTTGGTCCCTTCGGCCCTTCATGATCACACATGTTGGTGTGCTGCTTCCATGTGGGCTTTGTTGTTTCTGGGCTAGATGGCCGCTTGTTTACTTTCAAGCCTTTAAGTCCCTAGACGCTATATCTTTTGATAGCCAGGCACCATCAGCTTTCTTCACTACATTTGTTTATGCACCCATTTGTCTTCAGTGATCGTGTCGGGAAGGTGGGTATCATGAAATGATCGTTTAGCTGAGCAAGGTGCTCTTGTATTAAGGGAATGCGCACGAGGAGGCCCAATGTCCACCTGCCACCCTACTACTAAACCTATAAATAAATGCACATAGGTCCATTTCCCCCATAATCTTAAATATATTTACATATAAACATGTCTGTATTTAGGCATTATCGTGAATGAGGGTAACGTGTGATGGGGACCCAATGTCCATCTGTAGACAACTGGACATCCCTTGCAGAGGGGTAGTGGGGAGGAGATGAGTCTCTCAGGGGTCAGTGTAGCAATAATGAAACTCACAACCTTCCTCTAGTTCTTAAACGCTTCCTCCCCACAACTATCATGACCCCAATTCTACCTTGCAAACCTGGTTAGACCTATAGGGTCACTAGGAGCCAGTGTTGACTGGACAGCCATGAGGTTGTTTTGTTTTTGTTTTGGTATCCATGCCCACATACAAGTTCAATTCCTTTCTCTCTCTGTGTGTGTGTGTCCACTCTTTCAAATATTCATAAAATACCATTAGGCCACTCCTCGGGATGGGAGCGCAGGTCGCCCCCTTCGGAAACTCGGAAGAAGCTGTATCTGCAACTTTAAAGAACAGCAGACAATGCTCTAGGTGTTGCTGGACCGCTGACCAGTTGGAGCAGACCCAGAGAAGGGAACAGGCAGGGGAGGGCGGGTGCCGTCTAAACCCAACTTCAGCTGCCCTTGGTGCAAACCCTGTGGCATCACAGGCGTGGAGGCTGTGGGGGGCAGGGGGTTGGTGTGCAGCACGGGGTTCCACATCTACTGGGCCACACTCCTGACAGTGAACGATAGCTGTCGCTCGATCCCGGCCAGCCAAACTCTTGCTGCACAAAGCCCCGGACTGGGGATCAAGTGCCTCCGGAAATCGTGCTCATTCCCCACGTGGTGGGGCCCTGGGAGCTCCCGCAGAGCCCACGGCTTGCACGGCTCAGCGCTTCTCTTACACGAGCGACCCTGAGAAGTCACTCTGCAGATGTCTTCTTCCAATCATTTATTGTTTAAGCAACGGAATAACTTGTCCAGAGTGTAGTCTTCCGGGAGTCAGCGTGCTTGTGTGATGGCTGACGGGCCCCCCAGGGTGACGAGGAAGAAAGACCTGGCTATCTGTTTCCGACCACCTTCGTGGCAGCTCGTGGTGCAGTCTGGCTGGTGGTCGGT